TGGGGCATTCACTCTCTGGTCCAGTTTAGGCATCCGATCATTTAAGGATTTATACATAGACAACAGTTTTACATCTTTTGAGCAGTTGTCTGAAAGGTTCTCTCTCCCTAGGCGACATTTTTTCAGATACTTGCAAGTTCGTAGCTTTGTTAGAAATAGGTTTCCTACCACACCCCCTAAAACACCACTAGATGCACTACTTAAACCAGTACCAGCTTTGGGAGGTATGATCTCATATATTTATGCCCAAATCCACTCTATGCGAATGACTCCCATAAATCCCCTTAGAATACTTTGGGAGGAAGACTTGGGTGAAGAGATCGCTGACGAGGTGTGGGAAAAAGTGCTTTGAAGGATACACGGATCATCTATTTGTGCCAAATATGGATTAACACAGTGTAAAACAGTCCATTGTACTCACCTTACAAAGGTAAGGCTGTCAAAAATGTTTAAGGATATAGACCCGGTTTGCGATCGATGTAATCAGGCCTCGGCAATGCATGCCCACATGCTGTGGCTGTGTCCTGTCTTAAAGTCTTACTGGGGAGACATCTTTGGAATGTTGTCTAAGGTTACTGGTCAACAGATTATACCTACTGCCTGTATGGCTTTGTCTGGGGTATCCCCGCCAACATCACTGTTATCCCCCATGCAGGAGTCATTTGCAGCCTTTGTTTGTCTGTTAGCTAGGCGCTTAATTCTTTTACAGTGGAAATCTAAATTACCACCATCATACGTACAGTGGATTAAAGAATTTCTCTACTCTGCTAGACTGGAAAAGATACGGTATATGCTGAGAGGCTCTTTGGGCACATTTTGTAGAATGTGGGACCCCTTCTATGAATATGTGGGGAACCTGGATTTCCCTACTCCTCCAGAGTAATGTTCGTGCATGTATACTGCTCTTGGTGAATCATGTCACTAGCCATTATACGGGTGGGGTATTAGGAATGCAGCATTGGGTTTTTTTTTTTTTTCTTTTCATAATGTTTGTTGTTTCTTCTGGTTTGCTTCAGGATTGAATTGTAAACATGTTCATGGGATCCTCATGATGCTTTGTTGCACTGTTCTCTGGGGGGGGGATCCGGCACCCGTCATCTCTTGGCGGACCTCTTCTGAGAGTCCAAGGTCCTTGACCCCTTCCTCGTGGTCTGCCATGGTATTGAGGTCCACAGTACCTGGGAGCAAAGTCCCACTGATAAGGTGGTGCGGTCGGCTGTTGAACAAAGAATTGCTGCTGTGCATATGGCTGTACAGCATTCTGCACAGGCATTTGGTTAGCTGTAGCTGTACTTTGATTAACTTTGTCTTGCATTTCCTTCAACTGAAAATTAAATTCTATTGAAAATTATGTACACGTGACTGGCGTTTCAACTGAAATGGCCTCTGCCCAGAATTATTGATCCGGCCAGGAACCTTCTACACCAGCTATTTTGGTGCGCCCGATCGCTGGGGGTTCTCCCAATCAACAGTTCTGTTTTAATTCCACTGAATACGCCATCACCCTAAATACAGTTTTCCCATAGGCTATGCCCAGCCCCTGGAACCAAAGACAGCTCTGCCCGAGGCACACTGTTTCACATCATATTCTCCCAGTAGCACTTGTTGCTATGGGATACACGACAGTGTTCAACAGCCTTCGTGCAGCAAACCACCCACACAAATATTACAAATAAAAAATATTTCCCTGTGCCCTCAATCATTTAACAGTTAGCAGTGATCGTCTTATAAATACTTAGACGTTCCGAAATGCTCAGAGAAGGCTCCTCCTTCCACTTCCGCTTTCAATAAGCCAGTCTTCCCATCGGGGCAAAAATCCTAATAGTTTTGGAGACAACCATCAAAATTTGTGGTTATCCACTTATTAATGTGAATTTTACGTCTCTGATAGTCATCAATCTCTGTAACTAGGGCACGTATTGTTCTATCCCCTCAAATGAGACTATGTGCTTCAAAACTTTTTCATGTGGCAAAAAAACAGCATCAGCACATTTCAATATAAAAGTGTTATCTTACCTTTACTGTAATTGTTCAATTTTTAAGTCAGGAATTTACAGTCCATACAGAGCAACAAAATTTTGCAAAGTCCAATATGCAGGAATTATGTACAAAGGTCTCCTGTAGTGCTGCATGATTAATCTAATTGCAATCACGATGTCAGTCTCTGCGATTATATGACGGGAAAATGTTGCGATTATATTAAACAAGTGTGTGGACTTGAGAACACATACTGTAGCGTCCCACTGGACACAAAGACAGTCAGCCGTGGGTGTCGCAAATGTTCGCTTTATTAACAAACCCAAAACACGGTTACTGTCAGCCGTAACCACGCCAAAACAATAACAGAACAAAAAATAGCAACACGCTAACGCTCTCTCCGTGGCTCCATCTCTCTTCCAACTCATCCCACACCACACACACACACACACACACACACACACACACACCTCAGCCTTCCGCACTCTCAACCGGCTCCGCCCCATTCTCACTTTCTAATGGGCACCTGCCTTAACCCTTAACACTTCACACCAACAAATGAACCGTAACAATTTAACATGCAAACATTGTAACTGCAGGATCACTACAATACTTTGAGAACAGTTTGCCGATTTTCTGTGCCGCTAAAAAAACAAAACAAAAAGATTTAAAAAAAATATAGGCAGTGCACGTGTGGTACGCGTGCGTGTTCACTTGTGTGCACAGCGCGGATAGACCAGAACGAGACTGATCTGGTAGCCAAAAAAAAAAAAAAAACCTCCCATGGCGATATTTTGGATTTGAGATTACTGACACTGAGCAGAGATGTACTGTGCAAGATTTGCAAAATTAAAGTTGCTACGTCACATGGCAATATGACAAATCTATATCAGCACCTGAAACAGCACAGAGAAAAATATGATGAATGCATGACGATGAAAACTCAGATCACTAAAGAGACAGCTGAAGAAAACAAGGCACCAGTAGTTCCCTGAACAAAACAACGCACAATTACAGTTTCTTCAAAGAAACAACATGCACAGCACCAAGAGTATCATTGTCATCTGCATTTGATCCCATGGTGGCAGTTTAGAAAAGCAGTGGCTGCTGAACTCAATGCTTACATTTACATGCCATGTGTAGACCATGAAGAAGATCCACTGAAATAGTGGAAAGTCCACAAAGTAAACTTCCCTAGGCTATGCAAACTAGCACAGAAATATCTGGGCATACAAGCAACAAGCTCTGCATCAGAGAGAGCTTTTAGCCCTAGTGGTAATGTTGTGTCGAGTCATCAATCCTGTCTGAAACCAGAGAAGGTGGACATGCTTGTCTTTTTGGCAAAGAACCTCTAATGTGATCAGTTTAACTGTTTAGAGGGAGGATTTGGACCAGTTGGTCATTAAAAAAAGATTTAGTGGTTTGAGTTTGAAGCACAATTTTATATACATTTTTTTTTCCCAAGGCACAAGATGTAATATACCGGAGGTTACACAAGTGTTATTTCACTTTGTAAAAAAGATTTATTTTGAACCATTTCTATTTTTACAAATACACATTGCAGCATTATTACTAATCTGTGTGTGCTTTTTCCTTAAAAACCCATCAATTTGGCTCAATACCAATTATTATAATCACAATTGCATATCGCAATATTGACCTTAATAATCGCAATATGAAAATTTTCACAAATCGTGCAGCCCTAGTCTCCTGCTCACCTTTTATTATTGCTGGCAAGTGTTGATCTGTGCAGTCCGTTCACTTCCGATGTGAAATCCAGCTCAGAATTCAGCCAATTCCGAAGGTCACGGCCCCAAGTTGTAATACCCCAGTTCTTTTATTGGACAGATCCGAGTAAGGAAGGGGTCCGTCTTTCGGGATTTTAGTGCTGGTGTTATTTAAAAACAAAAATATATATACACATACATACATACACACACATACACACAAAGATTACAGAACACTAACCGGGTGGCTCCCTCCGTCAGACCAGCTGCTGGAGAAGAGAAAGACTACCTGGAACACAGAGCCCAATACATTTATACAATTTCTTGGGCTAACCCCTATACGCAAACAGATATAGAATCATCATGAGTTGGAGACAGTCCGGCGTCTCCTTCTCTTATGCTCCACATGTGTCAAGCATTAATCAGAACAAATGAAGAACTCCGTGTGTGTACAGTATGTTGTTACGTGGTGTGTAACTAAACCAATCATTCAGACATGAATCTAACACCAGATTAATACAAGAAAACAATTGACATCAAGATACACTTTTCAGATTTAACCTTATCTTCTAACCTTGAAGCAAAGCACACTAGAGCAGACTTCAAATATTACTAACTGCATTAACAACACATTAAAGCACATTAATGTCTATAATTATCTGCCTGAATTATCAATTTCTAACAGTTCTCATAGGGACCGAAAAGAAACTATTATGTGTAATAACCCAGTTCTTTTATTGGACAGTTCTGAATAACAAAGGAATCTGTCTTTCTTCCTTTAATGCAGATCTATTTTAAACTGCAAGTAAAAAATTATAAAACACAACCTGGGTGGCTCCCCCTTCCAGGCATCCCCATGCAGGCTGCTGGAAACAAGGAGACCCGGAAACACAGAGCCTAATACATTTATTTAAGTTTTGGGCTAACCCCTTACACAGATGAAGTGAGTCTGCAGACTTCATCTCTTATCTAGTGCTCCAGCTGCATGGAGCCACTGCGCTTTACCTAGTCATAACAAAATGAAGAAGCACAATGTGTGTATATGTTGTCACATGGTGCGTAGCTAAGCATTCATTCAGACATAATATTCCAACAAGATAACAATTGGTGCCATGGTTCACTTTTCAGAATCAACACTCTTGTCTTCTAACCTTGAAACAAAACTGACTAGGGCAGATTTAAAATATTACTAAACTGCATTACTAACACATTTGATTCAACACATTGTCTAATAATTACTAATATATAACATATGTGAAGGTTTTCTCACGTTTTACAAGAATACGGCTTCTCCCCTGTGTGGGTTCTTAAATGAATCTTCAAATCTGATGACCGCATGAATCCTTTCCCACAAGTCCTGCAAACATATGGCCTCTCCCCTGTGTGGATTCTCATGTGGACCAACAAGTGACCCCTGTGTGTGAAACAGTTCCCACATGTTTTACAAGAAAACGGCCTCTCACCTGTGTGGGTTCTGAGGTGGATCAAAAGGCCACTGCTGGTTGAGAAACTCTTTGTACATGTTTTACAAGAATACGGCTTCTCACCTGTGTGGGTTCTTAAATGAACCTTCAAAACTGATGATTGCATGAATCCTTTCCCACACATGTTGCAAACATATGGCCTCTCACCTGTGTGGGTTCTCATGTGGATCAACAACCGCTGGCGTTGCCTATAAGAGTTCCCACATATTTTACAAAAATATGGCCTCTCACCTGTGTGGGTTCTTAAATGAACCTTCAAAGCTGATGATTGCATAAATCCTTTCCCACATGTTTTGCAAACATGGGGTCTCTCTCCTGTGTGGGATCTCATATGGATCAACAACTTCTGCCGTTCCTTGTAAGAGTTCCCACATGTTTTACAAGAATATGGCTTCTCTGCTGTGTGGGTCCTCATGTGGACCGATAACCAACTGCTGCTTGTGAAATTCTTCCCACATGTTTCACAACAATACGGCTTCTCTCCTGTGTGGGTTCTTAAATGAACCTTCAAAACTGATGACTCCACGAATCCTTTCCCACACGTCTTGCAAACATACAGATTCTCCCCTGTGTGGGATCTCATGTGGTTCAACAAGTGCTGCCGTTGCCTATAAGAATTCCCACATGTTTTACAAGAATACGGCTTCTCGCCTGTGTGGATTCGTAAATGAACATTCAAATGTGATGACTGTATGAATCCTTTCCCACATGTCTTGCAAACATACGGCCTCTCACCTGTGTGGGTTCTCATGTGGACCAAAAGTTCACAGTTATATTTGAAAATTTTCTTACACATTTCACAACAATACTGATTCTCTGCTGTATGGCTTCTAAGATGTCTATTGAAATTGGTCTTGTACCTAAAAGTTTTGCCACAAGTGCCACACTTTAAAGACTTTCTGTCTGTGGAAGGATCAGAATCAGTCTCTGACAGGGGAGAGTTGTCCACACTGCTACCGTGACTTGTGTCTTTGTGACGTCTCCTCTTTGGCTTTGGCTCTGCATTACAGGATGATCCCGAGTCTCCATGCTGGCTTCCTTCCTGATCCTGGCTCCCAGCTATAGCAGACCTGTGACAGAGGAGGTGCTGGTCACTGGTTGGTTCTGCTTCACTGTGGTCCTTTTTCTCATAAGTAGGAGTCAACATAAAGGGATCGGTCTCCTGCTTCATTCCAAGCTGCTCTTCCTCCTCACTGCTGCAGAGTTCCTCCTGTTCCTCTTTAATCTGTGGAGGTTCTGGGTCCTCTTGGTCCAGACTGGAGTTCCTCTCCTGGTTCCAGAGCTGCTGGTCAGCCAGAACCACCTCCTCCTTACAGACATGTTGCTGTGGCAGCTCTGGAGGGACAAAGGAAGGAACAGGTCACTGATGTGATGAGAGAAAAAACAAACAAACTAACATTTCTTATCCACCAGGTTTTGAGTTGAAATTTCCAGTCTGCATTAAAAGTCAAATAAATGGGGATCTCAAACTTAACATTCAAAGGTCTTGAACGATAACTGATAAGCAAATGACTTTTATTAAACTTGCTTATAACTTGCCAGCAACATACATTCATCTGCCACTTTATTAGGTACTGTCGTGGCTAGAATGTGATACCGGCTAAATTAATTCAGACAAATCATCCCAAATTAAGTAATCATTTATTATTACAATTATTCTGAACAGAGTAGTAGTTAAATAGGTAATCTGGTAGTTAGGAAACAGGGAACAGAATCACTCCTCCTGCAATGGGATAGATAAAGTATTAAATAAGAAGATTGTCAGAGCGCCAGTTAGTCATTGAAGGTCACGAGGTACAGTCAGGGGTCCTGTTAGTCAGAGCCCGGCCGGCTTTAAGCTCACTCAAGGCTGCCGCACCATCCTTAATTCTTCTCCTACACCCTTCAGCCTCACTCTTTTATCCGCAGCTTTTCTTAGGCTGTTATGTCAATTTCCGAGCTTTATTTATTTATTCTTTCAAGCATGTAAAGACAGTTGATATGTCAAGACACATAATTTTACACATATCCAACAAATGCTAATCCAATATCAATTTGCTTATACCTAGTACATGCTTGAATGGAGTAGGAAGACTTATCCAGTCCTACCCCCTGACATCATCTTACCATCACTGGTTTGCAAACAGTATCTCTACATAAATAATTCTCTTCTACACCACACAAGTAATATACTAAAGAATTATAACAGAGTGTTAACATTCTTACATAATTACATTCTTAAATAGTTATGTTCTACACCACACAAGCAATATATTTAAAGAATTATTACAGAGTGTTAACATTCATACACCACACCCACAATGTTCCATCTAATTAATCATTAAGCCTGATCTTGCATATATCTTGATTGACACATACCTTTGTATTTATGTTTAAACTCATCAATTCTATTACTATTTTTTTATGTCCGCACTTAAATTATTCCATAGTTTTACCCCACTTATGGAAATACAAAATCTTCTTTTAGTTGTACATGTAGCATGAATTTTTAAATTTAACTGACCCCTTAAATTGTATCCCCCTTCCCTTTCATTAAATAGTTTTTGAATTCCACCAGGTAATAAATTGTTC